TCAAAAAACATATTGATAGTGCTTTTATGACAAACAATAATAGAGTAATTTATTAGGTTAAATAATATTTTAACCGGCTAAATTGAACAGCCCTACATAATATACTATTAACACAACTATCATTAGCTACCTACCACTTTAAAAACCTGCATAATTTTTCATAGATTGATAAAAAGTATCTTAAAGAGAAACTATTTGTCAAAAAATAATAGATGTTGATGTTGGTGGTGATATTATCTATGGGTGGTGTTTCTAGTTTTTGAATGCCTATTAATAAAACATTTTTAATGTCAACGTTCAAAAATCATTTTTAGGTCATTACGTATTCTTTAGAATTGTTTTATTTAATAAATATAACTGTTTAAAATATAAATATTAATGAAGTACCTAATAACTGCCGCAAATATTTTTTTATTTTAATTGTACTACTTATAAATCAATAAACCACCATTATTATCGTAAAATATTGCTACTGCTATTATAGCCACAGAATTATCAAATACCAATTTATTAACTAAAAATATGAACAATCATTAATTAACATTATTTTATATATTTTTTTAAATAACTGTTTTGATTATTCTGTGGCTTGAAAGAAATATTTTTAAATTGATAATTTTAATTGAAATTAACCGAATATTTCATAATATAATCATAATATAACAATCAATAAACAATTTAATGCCTTTTGTAATTAAACGTTTAAATTTTTTTTTATTTTTATATTTCTATTTTTCAAAAAATAATTGTTATGGCCTAAAATACTTTAAGTGATAATTTTAATTGGAAATACATAATTCTAGCTTATCGAAAACTTTTAACTATAGTAATAACGATAAAAAAATAATATACTTTGTTCAAAGTTATTACGAAAGTAGTTGTAAAATAAAAAGTTTTCGTGAATAGGGAGCTTCATAAAAATAACCAAATTATTACTTTATTTTAACAACAATTAGAAAGTTCAATTGCTAATTATTTGTTTTTCTATTTTGTATACCATAATAAGCACAGTACTCCATGCATGGCAACAGTACGAAACGCAAATATAATTTATAGTTAAAATTTTTCCTAAAATGTTTAATAAACAAAAAAAATAGTACAAAGAACTCATGTCATAATGCATTTTTTCTACTACTATTACGGAATAGGACCGTTCTAATATTACTTTTTAATGTGAATTACATATATTCCTTAAAGTGCTACAGAATGACTTTATTTTATCATTGGATAACGGAATAACACATACTTCCACACATTTACAAAGCATTTCTAACTGAGACTGTTTCCTTTTTGTGGGGTTAAAGTAGGGGAAGTGAAAATCACACGGGAGATTGCATTTAAGCGCATGCGTGACGTCATTTTTGTCCCTATTTAGGAAGCACAATAAATACTTTTAAATAAATTATATAAATTGTATGAAAAAACAATAACAATAATAAATACATTTTATAATGGCACGATAGCCAAAAGGTTTTTGTGATAACGAGATTTTTAATGGATTTTACATAATCTGCATATTATGCCACTTTTTGCTTTTTTAAAGCCAAACAACCGAAATTTATGTAAGCTTAACCTAGGCGATGTAAGCAAATGCTTTAGAAAACGCTGTGACTAGAGGCACGCTAACGTGGCGCGATTCTAAATGTTAAAGGCACTTTAGTTGCACGTCATAATATTAATCCGTTTTTGTTCCCCGAGCGTTTTAATTTTGATGTCATGCTTAGATTGCTCAGATGGTAGGGCGGTCGCTTAGGGGACATCCATTAATTACGTGAGATAAAAATAGGGGGGGAGGGGTCTAGCAAAATCTTACCAAATCTCATGTTAAGGGAGGGGGGTCATTAAAAATCTCACGTCAACTTTTGTAATCAATTTTTATTTTTTGGGTTTATCATGTTGTCCGCAAAGAAAGTTTAATGACTAGAATCTCATGTGAGGGATACGGGGGGGGGGTCTATCACATCTCACCAAATCTCACCAAGGGGGAGGGAGGGGTCCAAATTATCAGAAAATGCCTCACGTAATTAATGGATGTCCTTTTAGCATGCGAGAGGTACCGGGTTCGATACTCGGAAGTTGTCAAACTGTTTTTATTTTTTATTTCATAAATTTGTAGTTTCTTTGTTAAAAAGTGTTGGGTTGGGTTGGTTGGTTTGTTTTAGTTTTATCGTAACATAAAATCTACAAGAAGTTGTCGAACTTTTTTTATTTCCTAAATTTGTTGTTCCAGTGTTAAAAAGTGTTCCTGTAGTCATGGCGTTTAATTTAATATAACCTAAATTTTATTTAGTTGACAATTCGTATCATTCGTGGACGTATTACTTTGTCTATGGTATCATATATTTTGGAAGTATGTGCGGTATAAATACTGGTGGCGCCATTTCTGTGTTTATTATATAACTTTAAGACCGATCCAACCTCACGTTCTCCCAATTAAATTATTTCTCCATGGTATATTTTAGAAACGTAGAAAAAGTATGGTCTGAAACCCATTTGTAATTACATATTCCGCTCTCGTAAATATTCCATATTCCAACTCGCTCCTTCGTTGCTCGTTTTGTAAATTGTCCTCGTGCGGAAAAATTACTTAGTTCTTTAATATAGTATTATTTTTAAGTTTAGGATAGTTATGCAATATTAATTTTTTGTTTAAAATTAAATTGTCTTTTAAAATATACAGAGTGTATATTTTTGATAACAAAAGCTGGGTTTAAAATATTAAACTACTATTTTTTGTTAGTTTAAAATCTCCAGTAACCAAAGCTTAATTTCGCCCAGCATCCCTTTTGTATAGTCGCTGACCCGTGACCTTTAAACGCGCCGCGACGTCACATTTAGTCGATAGACGTCCGTCTCCCCTTCCAGAGTGAAATCGTTGAGTGAAGGAGTACATATTTTAATCAATGATATGTTACACCGAAATATTTGATGGCATGGTCGAACATGGACTTTTTAATAGGTTTTATAATAACTGTAAAGCTTTGATGTTTTAATGTTATTGCATGTTTTTATCAATTTGTAGTTCCTATTTGTATGTAATTTAATTAGTTTTATAAAGTTATTTTTTATCACTTTCATGATTCAATTATTTCTTGCTGCCATTTAAGTAAAAAAGTAACAAAAATAAATAAAAAACAATTATTATAATAATAATATAGTTATTACGAGAGTTATTATTTATGTGTTAATTTATTAAAAATAAAATGTGAATATTTATGATATTTAGCATTTTAAATTTAAGTTTATTATTTAAAAGTATAATAGGAAAATAATGTAGCTAAATTAATATTCAAAAAAACATAAATAAAAATGTTTTATGTAACCCTTTAAGAATAGTTGGGTGTTATATATAAATCAACTGCAAAATTTGCAGTTGATTTATATATAACACACAACTATCTTAAAGGGTCATATTTAATATTGATCTTTTTATAAAAAACAATATTATTATTTTTATTATTATTACTTGAAAATTAAATTTTGTTGGCAATCTCCCGGATTTAGATAGAACACATAAAAATAATATGACAAGTTCCTATAATTTTTTTTCCTACGGCCCCATCTACGGAGATACTGGCCCATAACGGACGCCCCTGAAATGAAGAAAAAGTTATATTTTTAACTGACACTGACATCATTATTTAAACTAATAAATTTAAAATAAACATTGCAAAAAAGATAAAAATAAATTCAAAAAACCCTATTGTACACAAACATTTTTTTTCGTAAACAGTACATTTTATCGATGTCGATCAGGAGTAACTTTTTTTAGTTTAAGGTTTAAGCTGACTAAAAATATTTTTGTGCCTTTAAATCGCTAGTCCGTCCCTGACAAACTAAATAAGGAAACTTTCCTAGTAAACAATATATTAAAAAATAATTAAATTCCACCTAGTGATTTAAAAGTTATTTTTTATATTTAAAAACAAACTAATTCCAGGGGTGTCCATTATGGGACCGTATCTCCGTAGAGGAGGCCGTAGGAAAAAAAAATATAGGAACTTGTCATATTATTTTTATGTGTTCCATTTAAATCCAGAAGATTGCCCACATATTCTGGGACACTCTGTATATATAATGTTTCTATTTAATATAAAAAAATCCTCACCAAATATGGCAGTTCCAGCTCAACTCTAAGAGGTCGCTGTTTTTATTTTAGTTTTTCATTTAATTAACATGGGAAAAAATAAGTTTATGTTTGGAATTTTATACCTCTGTATCAAAGTAACTTATAGCAATGATCAATGCAGTTTCTTATATAAAATGTCTCTCTTATTATTTTTCGATATGTTGATTGCTTCTAGAGTTATTCGAGGTCAAAGTTTGATTAACATCAAATTTTCTGTTTTTTTTTTAATTGTATGGTACAATTAGCAGACGGGAGGTGAAAGGGGGCAGAACAAGGCAGCGGAGGGCAAAATGGGGTACCCGAAAAATTTCGTATAAAAAAAATTTTTTTTGGTTTTTAAATTATTTAAAAATATATTGACTCACAAGTTCACGCTTTTAATCGAAAATAATTATTCTGAGCCTGTACAGCGCGAAAAAGGATGGTACAATTTTGTAAAACTTTTCATATGCTCATTTTTTGGGTACCCCATTTTGACCCCCCCGCTGCCTTGTTTTGCCCCCTTTCACCTCCCGTCTGCTAATTGTACGAAAAATAATAAGAGAGCTTTTTTGTAGAGCGTTATATTTTATATAAGAAACTGCAATGATCATTGCCTTAAGTTACTTTGATACAGATGTATAAAATTCCAAACATAAAATTATTTTTCCCGTGTTAATTAAAGGGGAAACCAAAATAAAAACAGCGACCTCTTGGAGTTGAGCTGGAACGCCCATATTTGGTGAGGATTTTTTTTTATTAAATAGAAACATTTGGGAGGGTAAAGCACCCTAATATACAAATATATATATATATATATATATATATATATATATATATATATATATATATATATATATATAATATATATAAATTAATTTTTAGTTTAAAGATGGCTCCTAACATAACCTCAGTTCCCACCGGGGTATTGTCTGAACAGGATGACGAAGTCTCCATGCCGGAAGTTCCACCGGAAGTAAGTCAACCGGACAACCGTAAATTGGAACTTGTGTGGAGGAATATAATCTTATTTGCCTATTTCCATGCTGTTGCTCTTTATGGCGTTTACTTAATGTTGGTATCGGCAAAATTAGCCACAACTGTGTTTGGTAAGTATCTTATTATTTATTTTTTATCAGTCAATACTATATAGTACTTAAGGTTATATTCAAGTTCACGAGTTACGTCCTTTAAGTAAAATTATGCAAATGAACTTATGACATTTAAATGATAAGGACTATTTTTTAAATAATAATTTAAACATTTAGCGTAAAAACTCTTGCAATATTTTGCAATTTTTATAAATGATTACACTTTTATCTTATACACATGTATTTATTTAATTTATATTTTCAGGTTTCTTTTTGTACCAATGCGGTGGTTTGGGGGTTACAGCAGGTGCTCACAGACTTTGGGCTCATCGTTCATATAAAGCTAAATGGCCATTAAAATTAATTCTCACTCTTTTTAATTCATTAGCTTTTGAAAACTCTGTTATTGAGTGGTCACGCGACCACAGAGTCCACCACAAATTTAGTGAAACCGATGCAGACCCTCACAATGCAAAGCGTGGATTCTTTTTTTCTCATATTGGATGGCTCTTATGCAAAAAGCATCCAGAAGTAAAGAATAAAGGCAAAGGTTTAGATATTTCAGACTTATACGCCGACCCTATTTTGTTCGCCCAGGATAAATATTATCTTATTGTAATGCCTCTGTGTTGCTTTATATTGCCTGTAATGATTCCCATGTACTTTTGGAATGAAACTTTTATTAATTCCTTCTCTTTAAACATGTTGAGATACATTATAACATTGAATGCCACTTGGTTGGTTAATTCTGCTGCCCATTTGTACGGACACAAACCTTATGACAAGTAAGTTATTTAATGACAAGTTAAGTAGGTAAATGGTATTTTTAATACATATTTTTAAGATATATTAATCCAGCTGAAAATAAGATGGTTTCTATTTTTGCTCTTGGTGAAGGATGGCACAACTATCACCACACCTTTCCATGGGACTACAAAACTTCTGAATTGGGTAAATACAGTACAAACTTCTCTGCAGCTTTTATAGACTTTTTTGCCAAAATCGGTTGGGCTTACGATTTAAAAACTGTTTCTCCTGAAATGATCAAGAAGCGTGTACAAAGAACTGGTGATGGTTCACATGAAATTTGGGGATGGGGTGACAAGGACCAATCCAAGGAAGACTATAGAGATGCTACCATAATGTACAAAAAGAATTACTGAATTTAGTGAATTAAATTGTAAATAAATTTAGCCATAAGAAAGATGTGATAAGAGACTGAATAACTTAAGTTACAAAAAATGGGAGTAGTAGTTAGATAATATTGAGATTTTTAAATGTTTTATAAATACAAAGTGATTGTCTGAAAAAATAGCGAAAACTTGAATGCTTTAGGAAAATACTATACTATAAAAAGGTCCCGCAAGTTAGATAGGAAAATATAACTTTTCATTAAGATGTATAAAAAACAAATTTTACTTATATGGTTATTGCACAAACTACAAAAATCTCACCGTGGCTATAAAACATCCACTACACTTACAAAACGACTTAACTTTACAATGTATAGTCAGTAACTTGTATATTAATAAAAACACTAAATAAATACACATGAAATAATTTATATAGGGGACGCTATTATAGAGACAATCATTTAATTTATAAATTATTTAATGTATTAGAAAAATAGAAATATTGTTTCGCCAAATGGTTGTTAAGTGATATTACAATTAATTTTATTACTAGTCCAATTTCAAGGATAAATGCTAGCAAAATATATTAAAAACTTAAATTCACTTAAACATATTTAATATATCTTGCTAAGTATTTCACCTCAAACCCTTGGCAGACTATCTGTATAGTGTCCGTATTTATTTATTTAGATAGTATGGTGCTAAATAAATTTTCTCTAATACTATTACAAAATAGTATAAATAAATACTTTATTTTCAAACTTTTGAGTTTTATATAATTCACAACTTACCTTTATTTTATCGTAAGGATTAATCATTTATCGAATAATACGTTATTAGTTTGAATACTTATGACATTTTTAAAAAACCAATAGAAAATTTAAAATTCAGTTATTTGTGTTTGTTTTAATTAATTAAGTGACTTTTTTCCTCGTCTTAATTTCCACCAATCACAAACGCGCAATTTTGAATTGCATGTGGAAAAACTGTATGACAGCACCTGTCAGCAGTTTTTTCGAGTTTACCCGCAGCAAAAGTTGACAGCTGTTGTCACCAAAATTGCAATTTATATTTTAATTGTACCATAAATAATTAAGTTTGTAGTATTTTGTGATTAAATAAATTACCTATTTTTCAGTTTTTAAATTAATACCTACATATTTCTTATGTATGCATGAACAATAGGTAGTATGTTTTGTAAGCTATGTGTAGGTATGCAGAATAACTGTTACTCATAAAATAGTCTTGTCAAATACCATTCGGTCATCTAATTTTTCCTGTGAAAAAAATCGAAAAAACACAATGCCAAGTAATATTTTTTAACAAAATGCATACGTGCAGATGCAAAAATCCTCGTCTTCGACTCGGATTTTTGTTGCCACCAGCACTCATGCTTCTTGTTAAAATATTACTTAGCAATTATGTTTTGTAAGCTATCTGTATGCAGAATAACTGTTACTCATGAAATAGTATTGTCAAATACCATTCGGGCATCTAATTATTCCTGTGAAAAATATCGAAAAAACACAATGCCAAGTAATATTTTTTAACAAAATGCATTCGTGCAGGGGCAAAAATCCTCGTCTTCGACTCGGATTTTTGTTGCCACCAGCACTCTGCTTCTTGTTAAAATATTACTTAGCAACGTGTTTTCGGAAAAATTAGATGCCCTTATGATATTACTTACGACTATTTCCCTCGTCTTAATTTCCACCAATCACAAACTCGCAATTTTGAATTACAAATGGTTTCTAGGTGGAAAAACTGTATGACAGCACCTGTCTGCTGTTTTTATAGAGTTTACCCGAAGCAAAACTTGACAGCTGTTGTCACTAAAATTGCAATTTATATTTTAATTGTACCATAAATAATTAAGTTTGTAGTATTTTGTGATTAAATAAAGGTAGTGTCTCCCCGACCGTCGGACGGACGTAGAAAAGTGTGTGCTTGACCGTCGGACGGACGTAGAAATGTGTGTGCTCAACCGTCGCATATTTTAACCTCATTTTAAACTAGAGGCTAAATGTAGCAAAGTATTCCTCAAGGTTATGACGAATAGCTGTCATTTTGGTTATGCAGGTACACTGCATTGTGCCATACCAAACTAACCCAAACTTAACAACCCAACCCAACCGACCCCGCCCCATTGGGTCACTCCCGCCCCATTGTCACAATCCAGCCTGCCCTTAGATATATTATACCTCTATTGCTCAATGGGGCGGGAGGGGCCCAATGGGGCGGGGTCGGTTGGGTTGGGTTGTTAAGTTTGGGTTGGTTTGGTATGGCACAATGCAGTGTACCTACATAACCAAGATGACAGCTATTCGTCATAACCTTGAGGAATACTTTGCTACATTTAGCCTCTAGTCATTTTCACACGTTTGTACGTCCGTCCGACGGTCGAGCACACACATTTCTACGTCCGTCCGACGGTCGAGCACACATTTTTCTACGTCCGTCCGACGGTCGGGGAGACACTACCTTAAATAAATTACATATTTTTCAGTTTTTAAATTAATACCTACATATTTCTTATGTATGCATGAATAATAGGTAGTATGTTTTGTAAGCTATGTGCATGCAGAATAACTGTTACTCATAAAATAGTCTTGTCAAATACCATTCGGGTATCTAATTTTTCCTGTGAAAAGAATCGAAAAAAAAATGCTAAGTAATATTTTTTAACAAAATGCTTTCGTGCAGGTGCAAAAATCCTCTTCGACTCGGATTTTTGTTGCCACCAGCACTCATGCTTCTTGTTAAAAATTTTAACTTAAAATATTACTTAGCAACGTGTTTTTCGATATTTTAGATGCCCTTATGATATTACTTACGAAAATAACCTACTGTACAATATTTTCGCGACAATACAATTCATTAATATTAAAACCAATAAAATGCCAGTATTCCATAGTTCCATAGCATTTTATCACAGCGACAATATTTTTTATCACTTTGTTTACACGTTACTAAGGATTTTGGCCCTTTTCTTAATTTAACATTTGTTCACTGAGAAAAAAATGGGACAAATAAACTGTGTAGCTAATACTTTTATTAATAGTGAATATATTGTTTATTACCTCTAAATAGTCGAAATAATAACGATAAATATACTTTAGTAAAACTTTATGTGTCGGGAATAAAAATATATTTCGGATAAATAAACTGTACCCTTGTCCCATATTTAAATATTTTTTTTATTTGGGAGCAATAAACTTTTTTCTCAGTGTTGATATTTAAATCATGCGTTTGTAATATCATTAAAATAATGAATTATAAACTCTAAAAGTTCGATGGGTTGGTGTAAACGATAATGAAATTAAGGTAAGTTTGAAAAAATAAGGGTTATTATAATATAAATATATAAAGTCTTTTTATATTTTAAAGCACATTTTAATTTTAAATGTCATACTAGCAAATACTAAAATTCATTATATTTTCTCACTAAATATAACTCATGGAATGATTAATAATCGATGATATTTAAATAAATAAATAAACGTCTTTATTGAAATAAGGAAATACAATATTCCAAATGGCGGAATTTGAATTTAAACATTAAAAATGTAAAAATTCATTCTTACATTCGAAAATATCATCGATGATAATCATACCACTTGTTATATTATGGGTGAACATAATATGACATTTGTTGTTGTCATTGTTATCAACAGTCCCTTATCACTATTGTTGTAACGTATCTAGTTTTAAGTAACTAGTTACATTATTTAGATACTTTTTATGTATCTGCGTATGTAACTAGTTATTTATCCCAATCTAGTAAATATAACTGTAACTAGTTACAAATTTTTAGTAACTAGGGGTATTAAGATACAAAGATACATTTTTTAATTTAATACCTACACATGGACTATTATATATTGAAACACGAAAAACACGTCCACTTTCACCTCTCTGTTTTGATTGATTGATTTGAAGGGGAGCCTTTGCAGGCAGCACTTAGGCACACATACTGCCCATTGTGCAAACCCCCTTTTGGTGAAGCCCTGCCTTACCTTACGAGGCCGCAGCTTTTAAGAAAAGCGCAGACCCGCTCTGGTCGGGCATGCATTATTTCCTCTGGTTCCAATTATCTGTCCACTAGGTGTCTTAGTCTACTATTGACTAGAGCGTCGCATTCGCAGACTATATGCTCGGTAGTTTCGTCTACTTCGCTGCAGTACCTACAGTCCTTCTCGTTGCTGAGTCCGGTCTTGTGTAGGTGGTATTTGAATACCCAGTGTCCTGTTAGGACTCCTGTGATGATTCTTAACTGGTTCCTGTTAAGTTTCAGGAATCTTTTTGCCTCTTTGCAGGTAGTAGGACTCTTTATGAAGACCCTTGAATGCCTGAGGCCTTTTTGTTCACGCCATTTGTTCTGGAACTGGTCGTTAGTCCAGTTCCAGATCTTGGTTTTTACCAGATAGGAGGCGATCCCTATGACAGGTTCTGGCCCCAAGAAGGCCGTCTTGCTGCCCTCGCGAGCCAGCTGGTCTGCTTCCTCGTTGCCTCCTATGCCTCGATGACCCGGTACCCAGATAAGGTTAACCTTGTTAAGCACACTGAGTAGTTCGAGGGTTTTTATGCAGTCCAGTGTAAGTCTCGAGTTGACCCTTTCCGAGTAAAGAGCCCGAAGTGCTGCTTGACTGTCGCTGCATATGTAGATATGTTTACCCGAGTAGCCTCTCTGGATTTTTTCTTGGGCGCATATCTGGATGGCAAAGACTTCAGTCTGGTATACCGTTGGGCATCGACCTAGAGCAAGGCTTATTCTCGCCCCAGGTCGCTCTCCATATACACCAGCTCCTGCACCTTCCTTCATTAAAGACCCGTCTGTGTACCAGATAAGCCCTTCCGGTTTGAGAAAGCCTGGGTCAGGCTCGCTTCAGTCGTTTTCTGAAGGGGAAAACCACTTTATATCTCCTGAGGGGGGTAGACGTCTTTGGCATTGCATCCCTTCTTGTGAGAAGGGGGTCCCGGTTGATAGTCTCAGTCTCAGGTTTTTAATTTCTGAACCCATCCAACACTGA